TAATAATGTTAAAGCGGACTGGGTGAGTATTAAGCTCACAAATTTTCTAAAAAAGACCGGGCGAAAAACAGTAATTCCGGCGAACATTCCTGGTCTGATGAAGAAATTATTCTACGATAAACAAGCGTTTTCGACAACAAGAATTGTTTCTTCGTTTGCTCGTGCAGGCATCTGGCCTTTTAATGAAAACGCAATGGTTGAAAAACTGGTTCATAAAGCATATCAATCGTCCAAACCATTACCAACAAACATTCTCTTACCACAACTTCCATCGCCAGCAATTCCAAATTCAACTAATTCATTACCACCATTTGTACCATTACCAATATCTCCAGCACCTGTGCCCCATACTAGAACCAATACACGACCTTCTCGCGCTCGTTCACCATCATTAACATTAATTCCTCGAAAAAAGCGAGTAATAGTTTCTTCTTCAACGTCCTCAAATCTAACAGTGGGTAACAACAGTGTACTACCATCAAACAACCCACTACTGATCAATCCATCTCCGCTATCGTTAACAGCCCTTGATTTACCCTCTAAACTTCTGTTAACAATTAAACAATCGTTTGCATCAAATCGAACTACCTTGTGTTCAACCAGTTCCATATTACCACAAGTACCATGCACATTAACAATATCTCCTTCGTCACAAACGCCCATCCCTATTCACCCTGTTGCACCAGTGCCACCTGTATTATCGAACGCGGCATCACCATCGAATATATCAGTTGTTCAACAGAAAAGAAAACTAAAGAATAGTAGTTCTCAAGTAACAAAAAAGAATCGCCTAAGGAATTTAATAATTAATGAGAGTGATGGTTAGCTTAGTAACCTATTAAAAAGGAAAGTATTATTAACAGTCACCATTTCATTTATTGATGGTACTAGTGTTAATGCATATTGTATTTTATCATATGCAGGTTGTGTTTGAGGATCTCGAATGGTATTTTCTTTGTCAGCAGCTGTATTTTTTCGTGTTTTTGTTTTGTTTGATGCCAATCTTGGATGTTTGCTGCTCGCTGACTCTGATGATTTCTTCTTCGCATCCTCCTTTTGTTGTAAGAACAAAGCAACGTCAGCATCAGTAAGATTGACACCGTATGAATTATTGAGCCGTAA